CACCACCCCACGCTGTGCCGAGCGTACATGAGAACATAGCCTCCGGCCGGTGAACGTTAAGCCAACTCCAACTTTAGTTGCAACGACACAAAGTGGTCTCAACGTCCTCCCTTTGCGCAGGTTGCTCACGTCCCGCCCCCGCCCTGTGAGCAGCAAACATAGCGAGGGAAGTCATAAACAACGGAGGGTCCGTACCTTGAAGGATTGGCGCGACGGCGTGGGTTTGGCTTCGGCATCCCTGAGTATACGCCTCCCGACCTCACCACACCACAACGAATCCCCGCTCCAGCTGCTGGCAGCCACCCAAACTATTTCAAACCATGGCCCAGAAGAACTATTCCAATGGGGTACTCCACAGACGCCCTGGAATTGGTGTACAGTATATGAACTGCTTTGAGCTCTAGGTTGTGGACTTTTTTGCCTTAGCGCCATAAGTACGCGCCACGAAGGCCTTTCAGCAAAGCAGGTGGGTCCAGCAGCGATTTTTGGCGAGGGAACTCGTCAGCGTAGGGGGGGCTAGAGGCAAACCAAAGCAATGAGAGCAGTGGTGAAGTTCCAGTCGGAGTGTAGCCAAATTGAATGACCTTGAAACACCCTTGGGTGTGTCACACACTGCGGGGCTGCTGCGTAGACTCTGCGCACAGTGCTTGCAGTTTTTTCGACGCAGGTACCGCAGGAAGCTTCTGGATCAGGCGCTGCGTGTAGACCACTGTCCAGCTCCGGTCGCTCGATCGCCATACCGCAGATCCTCTTGGGACCTTCGAAGAAACTTTCGACTCAGAATTCCGAGGCCTTGAGACTGCAGATCGCAAACGGCATCCATACGGCCATGGTCTACGTGGGGGGTGGCCCAGGATCGTTTTCATCGCTTTTCACTGCGACTGCGGCTTAACCACAAAAACGTAGCGACCACATATACTACCGTGCACTATTATAGAAGAAATGTACCTAGGATCTATATTCTATTTGCACCGGCCGGGGGCAACCAGAAGATGTATATTTTTTTTGAATATGTTGATACACAAATTCATTGCAGGGGTCCTGCAGTATATTCTGTTTGGAGCTGACGGAAAAGGTGTATCACGTGGTAAGCTCAGCGAGTGAGGGCCAAGAGGAAACCAAAAGGAACCAAAGGGAAATCAAAGAGAACCAAAAGGAAGTCAAAAGGACATCAAAGGGATCAAAAGGAAACTAAAAGGACATTGAAGAGGAAATCAAAAGGGATCAAAATGTTTTTTTGCTCCGGATGCTGGACATTTGCAGGACAGTCAGCATCTACTCTTCACGTATTTTCTATTTAATTCGCGCCTTTTTCCCGGGAGCGTCTGCGAAGGGTTCTTCGTAAAGGAACATCTGCAGAACTTCGTCTCATCTACATCTTCACATCTTCACCTCTGCGCATCCACATTCTCACCTATATCTCTGCTCATGTTCACATCTGCTCATCTTCACATCTGCACATCTACATCTCCGCTCCTCTTCACATCTCTGCTCAGCTTCACATCCTCACCTATATCTCTGCTCATCTTCACATCTACATTCTCATCTGCACATCTACATCTCTGCTCATCTTCACATCCATCTCGCTCTTCTTGACTTTCTCTCTTAAGGCCGGCGGCGGTGCCGCGGGAGCACCACGAAACGCAGCCCTCTGCGGAGATCGTGCGTGTCGAGTGCGCGAAACGCAGGCGAGAGTGCGATTTGGCTTTGTCCGGCGCAACCCTCTGCGGAGATCGTGCGTGTCGAGGGCGCGAAATGCAAGCGAGAGTGCATGCGTTTTGTCCCGGTCGCAGGCAACCCTCTGCGGAGATCGTGCGTGTCGAGGGCGCGAAACGCAGGCGAGAGTGCGTTTTGACCCGGTCCGGCGCAACCCTCTGCGGAGATCGTGCGTGTTGAGTGCACGAAATGCAGGCGAGAGCGCAATTTTTCCCGCTCGCGGGCAACCCTCTGCGGAGATCGTGCGTGTCGAATGCGCGAAATGCAGGCGAGAGCGCGATGTGTCCTGCACGCGGGCAAACCTTCTGCGGAGATCGTGCGTGTCGAGTGCGCGAAATGCAGACGACTGGGCGATGAGTCCCATGTGCGCGCGTATCTGGGGAGCTGGAAGATGAGAACTGGCGACTTTGTAGTAAAACTGTACTACGCGGAGTATCTGGGGAGCTGAGAACTGGCGACTTTGTAGTAAAACTTTAGTACGCGGAGTATCTGGGGAGCTGAAGATGAGAACTGGGCAACTTTAGTACGCGGAGTATCTGGGGAGCTGGAAGATGAGAACTGGGGACTTTGTAGTACAACTGTAGTACGCGGAGTAGCTGGGGAGCTGGAAGATGAGAACTGGCGACTTTGTAGTAAAACTTTAGTACGCGGAGTATCTGGGGAGCTGGAAGATGAGAATTGGCGACTTTGTAGTCGCGACGAGTGTCCCAAAAGAGTGCCCCGCAAGAGCTTCCCACAAGAGTGTCCCAGAGAGAGTGGCCCACGAGAGTATCTTGACATGCTCACATCTGCATATGTACCTCTCCACCTCCACACATCTGCGCATCTATATCACACCTTCACATCCACACTGTCACTCCTTCACATCCGCCCTCTCCTTCTCTCTTTCTACACATCTTTTCTCTTAATATTTTAATTTGCATCCATTGTGTGTAGCTTATAAGACATTGTGGAGACCTCGTCTTTGAAGGTCACTGTGGTTGTCACCATGTGCGCGCAGGAGATGAAGATCGAAGGTGCACCGACAGACTGGACGAAATACTTTCAACAACAAGATGTCTTTCACATCCAGTGTCATTGGAGGACACGACATTGAAGCCGGCAAGGCGTTCTTCTATAATAGTGCACGTGATTATACGTGCGGCACCCAGCGGTGACGGTTTTGGGCGGTTGGACAAGAGAGAGAAGAGAAGACAAGAGGAGACAGAGAGACAGAGAGGCAGGCAGGCAGGCAGGCAGGCAGACAGAACAAGCAAAAAAACAAACAAGCAAGCAGCGAAAGTGGGAGGCCATGCCACGGGGCCGAGTTGCGTTCGTCCCCCAGCTTGCGAAGAACTACTGTTTGCCACTGGAAGCAGCCCTCCAGCAGCACCAACTCATGTTTGGGTCAAAAGCTGTGAGCTGCACCAGACGTCAAACCTCCATTAGATATACTGCTGCTGAACATGTTCTTGATGTGCTTGGCAGCACGTGCATTGAGGTTGGTTATTTTACGGTCACGGGGGTTCACCCGACACATAGACTATTCAAAAATGTGTGCTGCAGTCCTTGCTAGGCAGCAGAGTGAGTGGAAGCCAACCACCATGCAAAGCATGCTTGAAACGGATTCCGGGCTGGCCTGGAGACCAACCGGAGGCCAGAGCTCTCATCAAGCGAGATTCTGAGCTCATGTGCCCCGCGGCTGGCATCAGAACCTTGCTTGCCTCAATGTGATTGTGGCTGCAGCCTTGTCCCATGAGCTTGCTCCTGTTGGAATCCGTGCTGGACACAGAACATGCAGCCGCTTAAGCCACCAGCCTTTCGCCTGGTGTTGAAGTTTGGCCTGAGGAGAACCTACCACGGAGTGCGTTGAAAGTGAGCGTAAAGAGAGATGTCGTGGCCGCGGAGCCATCGGCTGCAAACAGCATCAAACAGCAACAGTGGGGAAAGGCCAGCTGCTGGGAGCAAAATCGAAGCGGACAAAAACGAAGACCACATGTTCCAACATCCTAGGAACAACAACTGCATTAAGCAAAAAGCAAGCAGCAAAAACGCAGGAAGGACCAACTGAGCCTATTGCAAGAAAAAGGAATGGAAAGAGGCTAGTGAGTCAAGGTGCGCTAAAGCCAAATAAGCCAAGCGAAGCAAACCGGCGATTAAATAGCCCAATGACAGTGTTGGAGAAGAAAACTGTCTGTGGAGAAGAATAGCCTAGCGTCCTCTGCTGAACCTGTGGGCGAGCTGTTTTTGTCAACCTTTACCTTGCGAAGATCCTGTTCAGGCAGCTGACTCAGTCTCTTCCGCTTCCCCGGCTTTGGAAGACCTCCAACCTGGCAGCAAAGATTTATGGCATTGTCATGAACACTTCTCACCACGACCACACTGAAGGTAAGCGAGCAGTGTCCTGCCAGAATGTCACTCTGCCATGGTGACAAGGTGTGACCTGAAGCTGTGCACACGAGCTGATGCTCAAATATATCTGAATCGAAGTGAACACATGATACACTAACTGAGAGGGAGGCAAGCATTGCAAAAACGCGGCGAGATATCAATGACCTCGAACACCAGCACTGCGATATGAGGCAGTGCAATCAGCCATCTGGGCACAATGCTCTTCCCAACGAGTCCACTTTCAGAGCCTTACCCGCCAGCCAAAATAGATTTCCATAGCCAGCTTCTTGCCACAAACTGAGTATTTATATATATAGTCCTTAATGAATTGATATGACTTGTTATGTACAATATGCAGCACAACTGCGGTACAGACCAAACTATGCGCAGTGACCACTAAAGCTGATGTGGCCCTTTACGGGTCAATCTGAGGACACTAGCGGATACCGCCGAGCACCTGCATGCTTGTTCTGTCCTGGGTGCCTTGGCACGGTTCTGCATGCCCTAGTAGCGTCCTTGCTCGTAGTAGCGATGCCAGGAGCCCATAGTAGCTTCTTGTTCCTAGTAGTAAGGCCAGGAGCCCCTAGTAGCGTCCTTGCTCCTAGTAGGCCATGCTTGCTCTAGTTCATCCTTTCTGGCCTGGCGTAGCGGCTTAGCCCAAGACCTGTTTTCCCGGTAAAGGAAAGCCCAGAACTGAGCGCATCACCACAATCGAAATGCGGTTTTTGAATGCTATTTGTTTGCGCTGAACAGTTGCAAAGCTTGGAAGCTGTCCGCTAGTCTCAGGCTATTGGCCACGGGCACTAGGCAGATTTGGGCCTTCTTCACTGACCCCATCTCCCCCACATCTAAGGTGATAGCCACTTAGGAAGGATTTTGCAGCTTCTGGTGCCTCAGAATGCTACATCTGCATCTCCATGGACAGAAACATGTTTCTGCCTTATTCTGCCTTACTGAGCCTTACTGCATCTGTTGCCAAACAAAAAGTGTGCCTTGAAATCTCGATTCCGAACGTTTCTTTCTCTCATTTCCGGCTGTGCCATCGGTCTGCCTCTCTGCATCTTTGGCGGAAACGCTCCCCGATATAGCAGCCATGCTATGGTTTATCACTACTTCTGAGTCTTGAGAGAAAGGGGATCGACATAAGACCTCAGACATCGAGGCACATTGCAAGCAAACATGGGTTCAAATCATGGCAGTAAGTTGGCATGATTTGGTTTGCATTTGCAGCACCGGCCACAAAAAGTGACATAAGAAAGGTCATCCACAAGCCAAGCTGCCCAAGATTGTCCACCTCAAGGTTGTCAACAGCTGCAAAAAGTGTGTGATTCTGAGAATGGAGCATCGCGATCATTGTGTCCTCTGGTGCAATATTTGTTGGTTTGAAAGCCCTCTCCAGCAGGGAGCTCCAAGAACCGTGTACGCATACACACCGGACACCAAAGAACTTTCGGACAAACGGGTTCTGGACCAAAGTTACTGGACTGGGCTTGCAAGGCTTTGGCGCCAAGATACGTCCCATTCCATCTCATCAAGATCTTCCTCTCTGGTGGTCTCGCTTTGCTCCAGCAAGTCACTGTGCCTGGTGCAGTGTGCGAGGTGCAACTTCCAAGGCAAGTCTCGTGACCAAAAAGGAATAGAACATAATAGAACGAAGGAAAGAAGGTGAAAGAGTTTAAGGTGAGTCAAGTGATGTACATCTTGCGCCATGGTGTGCACCATGTTGAACAGGTTGTACAACTTGCGAAGCTGCATGCACACCAGCCGTGGTCCGTTTTGGCTTTACTGCTTGATCGCTGTTTACTATTCACATCCGTACGCAATGGCCAGGACTAGCTCAGCATCAAACTAGGTGCAGCAAGTGTGACGGAAGCATACCACTGTGAACCGGACCTCAATATCTGGATGCAGGACTGTTCAACCTTAGTGACAGTATGCAAATTGCACAACACACAAGTGTAAGTGAACAGTACCGAATGTAAACAAGTTTGCAACTCATTGATGCTGGAAAAAAGATGTATTCTCTCGTGGCGTCTGAAAACGTCTTTCAAACCCTGAAGCATTCCCTCAAGCAAAGTGCTTCTTGTTCCCATACGAAAACTAACTATATGCTGAACCTCTCATCCGTTATCATCCGTTACATATATATATATATATCCTTTCCTTTCCAAAATAAGTTCAACAAAACTTGTTGAACTGCCTTTTCAAAGGAAAGGCGGAGAAACTCCTTTTCATACCTGTTTAGAAGGCAATTGCATGTTCAAACTGCCTGGACATGTTTTGGGGGGGCCCACTCTGGATTCTGCCTGAGTTGTTTGCTACGAGTAGGAGGAGTGTTGACACATCAAGCCCAGGCTGAAGGCAAAATACTGCTGCAATGCGTCAAGGAACAGTTTGACAATACTGCCACCTGAGCCAAAACAAGCAGATGGACAACATGTTGACCGAAGTGCACATTGGATCCAAGTGTTCAACCGAGTCACAACGGCAAGGCGTTGAAAGGCTGCTCTACTCTGGAACCAATGTCCTATCAAGGCAAATGAGGCTTCAAGTCATACAAGCCAAGTTCGCAGGCGGTCCTCAATGCCGAGCATAAAGAAGCTGGTCACAAGGGTCACTGGTACTGTCAGCACTGGCCCAGCAACTGGATACATCGCCAAAGGCCTTGGACAAGGAGCAGAAACACAACACAATCACAACTTGAGAGACTGGGCAGTGCAAGACTAAGCAAGGTACAAAGCGTTACACCACCTTGGCATGTGATGTGCAAACATGTGGGGGTGGGCCCTAGGGGACTGATCAAAACAGAAAACAAACTCTCTGGAGTGGAGATGAGAAGAGCCAACTTTGGGGTTATTGAGCTTAAGTCGAAGGACAGGAGGAGACTTCCTTGCCTCCTGCTAGAGTACAATAAGTCTTGGTAGGGCTGCCGGATTTCAGGTGTGAAACGTTCCCTTCAGACCAAGCCAAGCTGAAGCCAAGCAAATCCAAGCAGCATGAACAAGAAGCGGCTGGTAAAGCGAGTATATGGAGTATAGATCGGCGTGCGCAGAATCTTCTCGCAAGCACCCAGGACCTGATTCCGCTGAGTCAGTCGGCCATGTGGTGTTGACACCTCTTAGCTTCAGCTCTACGATTCTCAATGTCATTGCCAAGTGCAGAACATAAATACAGCATATTAGTTATACAAAATCTTAAACACTACCGGTATCTACGGTATCTACCGGTAAATCAATACCCTCCCAAAATTGTCATCTGCTCACATGTGCTAAAGCTGGAAAAATTAAACCTGAGTTATAGGTGCAATTCCGACCGTCCCAGAAGCATTATGGAAAGTTGTGAGGCTGCGATCCATCTCTGTGGCTGCCACAGGGTCCAGTCCTACCAATGTGGATTGGAACAAGTCTATGGTAGGACGCTGACTCGCGGCAAAACGATGCAAAAACGCAAGCAGTGAAAACGTTCGCAACAGGTGCCTCCTAACGTTGGTTGGGCAAAAATTTGAGCAGAAGTATGTTGCAGTTCGTGTAGAACATAGAGAGGCCGATTTGCCACATCCGCCTGAATGATCCGGTGCTGGCATCTACCAATACCAGGAGCACTGGATTCACAAGCATTCACAAGCATTCAGTTCTCAGCTCCAAGCCTCAACGAGCCGTTCGATGAAGTCTTTCTGTTTGAGATCGAATGGGTTCCAAACCTGCTGCAGCTCGCACTTCAAAGCCTCAAGGAATCTTGGCGCCCCAAAACATCGAAACCGTGCTGTGCAACGCAGTAGGCCAGTAGGCCAACCCCAAAGATAGGTTTTTCAATACCCAAGCTGCTGCAGTAGTGTTCTTCCGCAATTCTGCATCGGAGGTCTTCGCCCTGTGAGAAAACATTAGAAAACCGTGCTTTCACTTCAGGAAGTTTCCGAGATGGCAGGATTTGCAATGAACCACGATGGCCCGATGGATTTTCTTGCGCAAACTTTCATCAGCGGGTCCAAGTCGCGTGATTACAATCTGCGGGTTGCCACCATCCTCTGTTAGGTGGTATTTAAGTACCACAGGCAGGGTCCTGCAAAGCAAATCACCCCACAATGCTCAACGTTCAACAAAGTCTGATGCAGCAAGTCAACCACAAAACAAGGGCTCCCTCCTAATGAGCTTGACTGCGTAAGTTTTCCCATCCAATACTTCTGGGCTCATGATGCCTCTCAGGGCAGGTGTGGCCAATGAGACTTGCAACGCCCAGTGCACCCTGAAAGGACAAAAATCTTGGCCTGTTGGCGATGGCACACGTGCCATAACTCGGCTGGCCATGGCTCGTGATTCATTGATGAGCAACCCCCATAAAGAGCGACCTTCCGTAAACCTTGGTGTGCCAATGGTGTCCCGCACACACTAGCATGCGCAGTCTGTGCAGTGTGCCCCAAAAAAACGAAACAAGCGCGGCGCGTCATCGCTTTAACTCAGCAGCATGCTACTAAGATCCACTAAGTGGTAACGAGCAACCTCTGATATCCGGTTTGTGTCTTGAAAGTGACCAGCAAACCAAGAGCGACTGAGGTCAAGGTGAAGCATTCGACCTGATGGATTCCAGAGTTCCACAGACTTCGCAACTGGCAGCTGACTGTTGCTCAAACATCTCCAAAATTCACACTGCAAACATGGATAGCGCAAAGCTGCTGGGAGTGTCAGCAAGGAAGGCAAGCTCAAGTCAAGGCCTTGGTCGAAGGGTGGATCATCGGTGGTGAGTGTCACCAAGCTTCGTTTGCTATTTGGAATCATGAGGCGGGTGCAGTCCCGTGCCGTCCCTGCCATTGAAGTCGCTTGAAAAGGTGTGTAACTGTGTATCCGTCTTTTTTACCGGTGTGTCGTGCCCCGAACTGTTCTTGAAATAGCGTTTGAAGGTGCCATCGTGGCCACGCGTGAATCCATGCCAAGACGCTTCCAGCCAATCCTGCTACCACTTCAGCATGTGAATTGTAGTAGGTGATAAGGCCTTCAAACAATGCTACACTTCCAACATCAAAGGCTGTATTCGGTGCCCTGGCTAAGCTGGAGCATCTCGAAATTTAGGGCCCAATAGACCAAAAGGCCGAAAACTTGCGAAGGAGGTTAGTTCGTCTTGCAGCTCAGCGGCCAGATGTGGTACCAATAAAGGCCAGGTCAGGGAAAACCAAACGTCTGATATTGTCAGAGGTGATGATCTTCCTCATGCAAATGAAGATCTCTGAAGTAATTATTACTTTCTGTCAGCATGGGAAGCGGTGTCTGAGTGTTAGCCCAAAGCAATCCGAGTTCAGATAGTCAAGTTAAGTATCACCGAGTAATTACTCAGTTGCTTGCTACCCTGAGCCTGTCAATGTGTAACATGTCAATTACGGAAAAAAAAACGAAGTGCAATTTGCTCCACCGCCCCCGTCACTTCGGCAAGGATTCTTGGCATTGGCTTAGGACTTTATTTATGTTCAATGTCAAGCAGCCTTGGTGTCCAAAGCTGCAGGTGGCGTGTCGCACGCTGATGCCTCCGCCAGTGCCTGAAGGTGTAGCCTGAGGGAGAGGAACCAGCAGCTTTGACTGGGAACCAACCACTCAATTCCAACGCATTCAGCACATTCTAGCGACAAACGGTCCATGTCAAATGAGTCGGGTGCTCATATCGATGGTAATCTTCCGCAAGAAGCGCGAGAGGCTGTTTCCGCCATTGTCACGGCAATATTGCAATGACATAGCTCCTGCTGAAGCCTTCAGCAGGGAATGAGAGCAAACTTCAATGGGGAAGGATGAAGCATGGTTCTCATGTGTAATGACACCACAGTAAGGGAATGCTTTAAACTGCACTGGAAAATAGACTAACCCTAACCCGGCTCCGCACGTATTCAGTCGAAGGAGTTACACTTATCCAGGCAGAGTTCAATTCGGCACGTAGCTACATTCTGTAGCAGAAACTTGTGTATACAATGACAACCTGGCAAGTCTGGATTTGTACACCAAGCTTGTGGTGATTTCAAACTCACCACGCCTGGAAGAGTCGCCGCTGCGCTTCAGCCTGCACTTCCGCTTCGGCCTGTGCTTCCGCCTCCTCCGGCATGAGTGACTCTACAATGAGCCACAAGTGCCAAGAGTTGGAGCAAGGACATCTCGTGACTGTAAGATTCATTGCATGATGTGGCACCATGCCACACCATCCTGTCACTGAACCCAACAAAACTAGCAAGCAATGGCCTGGTCTTTGATTTTTTCTCCAGAGCCACCAGGCACTGCAGTTGTTCGACCTTAGTTTCAAGATCGGAGCCTCAGCTTCCGGTCGAGCGGCCAAGCCGAGCTTCTCCATCGACCGCATGCACGCCAGACATGGAGGCAAAATGAAGGTCTACGGTGAAGCCTCAACATCCCAACCTGCTGCGAATCGGCGAACAATGTTGCTTTACGTCTGTCAAAGGCAAGAGCCCAAATGAACGTAAAGCCAAAGTGCCTGAAGTGCCTGCGTCTCTTCAGTGGTTGCCGGTCTGCCATGTTGGCTAGCGGGTGCAAGTGTATTTACCCTTAGCGTGTGTGTGTGTGTGTGTTTTAGCTCAGAACTCCTCTGCTGTGCTTTGATGTCAAGGCAGTGGAAACACTTTGTCTTTGTTTTTCTTCTCTCTCTCTCTCTCTCTCTCTTTCAGAAGCGTGGTGGGATCAAGAGATGGTGACATTATGTGCATATGTATCTATATAGTTAATCACAAATAACTATAATTTGGCATATAATAATATTAAAAAATATTACAATAAGTTATGCGTATAATCACAAATATATTGTGATTGTGTACGTACACCCAAATTGCTCGATGCTGGGCAAACGACATGCCGTTGCTTCCGGGCTTAGCGGGGTACTCTCAGGGCCGATGCTTTGCACGATTGAGCGAAATTCACGGTTTTAATTGCATCTGTTGGTTTTGGTGCGGGCATGGAGCAAGAGCAGCCGAAGCATCAGTGCTGAGGGTGCCACTGCGTAGTGCCGAGCTGCACAAAAGAAAACCAAAGAATATCTGTCCTGAGGCAATTATAAGCAGCAAAGGTCCGCCTGACATTGAGCGTCTGAGCCCCAAACTCCTCCCGAGTACTGACGCACCTCATTATATATTTATATATACAATACAGTTCAAGGCAAGGGAGATGGCCGATTGACATTTTCTATCTAGCCCAAGTCTCCGGCAAAGTGCACGCACTTCCCATTAAACCGAGCCTGGGGCACTGGAGCGGAGATGACAAAAAGCTGGTGTCTCACGCCAGCATGCAGCTGCAACTCAAAAAATGGTCTTGAAACCATTTTGAGAATGAAATGTATCAATCAACTTTCTTCTTGGGTGCCAAGGGCAAGGCCCATCGGTTGTGCCTGGGCAATGGGCAAGCGCTCCATTGAGGGCGCCAAGCTTGTCCATGAGTCGAGTTGAAGATGTTGAAGTAGGGTTTCAATGGGTTTCAAATGATAACGCAAACTGGAAGACACACATGACCCAACCCCTCAGCTAAAGCCCTTCAGATCTTTTGACATCTCCAGGCCGTAGGCAGGCTCTCGGGCTTCTGCGCTCCAACCAAGCTCCCAAATGTCCTAATCAACGGTTGGCCTTTGCCACGCGCTCAATTTCGTCCTTCTTCTTGATGGCATAGGAGTTGGAGGACTCTTTGGCACAGTTCATGATTTCATCTGCCAGGCACTCTGAAATGGACTTGATGTTGCGGAAGGCGGAGTTTCGGGCTCCAGTGCAAATCAGGTAGATTGCCTGATTGACTCGGCGCAAGGGGGACACATCTACTGCCTGTCGGCGAACCACGCCGGCAGAGCCTACACGTGTGGAGTCCTCCCGAGGTCCACCATTCTTGACTGCATCGACGAACACCTGGATGGGGTTCTTGTCGGTGAGAAGATGGATGATCTCAAAGGCATGTTTCACGATGCGCACCGCCATGAGCTTCTTTCCGTTGTTGCGGCCATGCATCATCATGGAGCACACGAGGCGCTCCACGATGGGGCACAAGGCCTTGCGGAAGCGTCTCATCTGGTATCGGCCCTGCGTGTGGGGCAAAAACAGTTGCGCCGTCTTGCTCACAGCAATGTAGTCCACCAAGCTCAAGTCAGTGAGCATCACATCTTCATAGCTCCATTTTCCAAAGAGCTTCACCTCCATGGCCGACATGAACGCCTCGTGCAGCCGGAGGCAGGCTTCCTCCTCTCTATCTTCCACTGAGCCGACCCTGCAATTGATACACAACTCAACAATCGACCGTCTACCTTTCAACATGTTCCAAGGCAAGCGTTGCTCTGCAAAAATATGCAAACATCATGCCTGTCAGCTCATATCATTATCACAATTATTTCCTGTGCATTCCTACGCTGCGTTGTTTGAATCGTTTGGCTGGCCATGGCTGGCCTAGCCGAGCCGCCTCTCACACGGTTGGGAGGACTGAGACTGAAACACATCCATGCTTGTCCCACGGCAAATTTCTCCAGTACGATAGCGCCTGAATTGGCATTTCAGGATCTTCGGCATCTCGGAAATTTGTGCATGGGGAAGGTGTGTCAGGAGGCCCAAAGGCACGAGGTTGAGGCGGACTCTGAGAGCAGAACCCCAAGACATCGCAGCCAAGAGTGTGGTCTTCGCCTGCATCTGAGCTTGCAACGTGCCATGTTGAGTCAAATTTGGGCAACTTCAAAGCAGCTGGGCATCTCACGTCCCTTCGGGTCCTGCATGCATGTCAAGCCATGTCCAACAAAGACCTTCAAGTCCAACATGGCCGATACACTCCCACAATGCAAGTAGTGGCCTCCCGAAAAGTCCCCTTGCAAGTGTGGAGCGGGGCGCTGCGTCCTCGATGAAAAGCTCACCACCCTTCGCCCAATCCTTGCAAGAGGTTTAGGAACTTCTCAAATCTGCACGCGCTTCGAGGAAAAACAGTTTCAGCCGAGTAAGTGCAAATGAATCTTTGGGCCACCAACACCAACAGCAATGATCCAGCTGGGACCTGAAGAATGACGCCTACATGTTTGTCATCATACTACCCGCTGATTCACTGTGTGGGCGCAATGCAACAAAGAATGCGAAGGATCTCGGAGTTGTATTGGTTATTATGTTTCTCTGTTATGTGCCTGCAGTTTTGCATAGTTTTGCGTTTTAGGATGTCCACTCACGGGATGTTTGCCTCGACTATATTTCTTGCCGGAAAAGGCCGGAGGCTTAGAATATACATATGGGTGTGCATTTTTTCCGTAGTCGGGCCGGGAAGTTTGAGCAGGTCGTATGATTCGATGGTATGATTCGCAGCTTTGAAACTGTATTGTTGGAATGGCCGGGCTTCCAGCAGTGGGCCCACATCTGCGCCGTGAAGCAGTAGGCAAGCAGTATCTGTTGGTTGCTGGGCAGACTAGGCAGAGGCACTCTGCTACCAAAGGCGCTAAACCCCAAAGGCATGACCCTATTGACCACAGTGCGCACCAGTGGCCCTCCGCAGGCCCCGCCAAAACAACCAAGGATGTGGGATGGCTGGGGGACTAGGTGGGGGCACGCGATTCGGGTATGAATCGGGTATGAAACGGGTGTGGTTCAGTATGGTCAATAAAAATATATCAAAATCTGCAAAAAAAGGCAATCCGCTGGCTCTTCTTCCCAAGGGAGAGCACATGGGAACATTGGTGTTCCTGGGATGTGAATCTTTGCTCTTCTTTCAAGAAGACAAACAATTTTGGACAGCGCGGGCAACCCGGCCTGCTATTTCGCCGGCAGCCGGCCGGCCGGCTGGCCAAATAGCGGCCGGCCGGCCAGCCGCTATGGCCAGCCGGCCGGCCATGTAGTAGTAGTAGTAGTAGTAGTGGTGGCAGGTAGTAGTAGCAGTAGTAGTAGTAGTAGGAGTAGTAGTAGTAGTAGGGGTAGTAGTGGTAGTGGTAGTGGTAGTAGTAGTCGTAGTAGTAGTAGTCGTAGTAGAAGTAGTAGTAGTAGTAGTAGCCGTAGTAGTAGTAATAGTAGTAATAATACAGAACGGCAGGCCCTGAGAGTGCAGATTTTTTGCTATTTTTCATTTGTTCTTAGGCCTAGATTTTATTACAGAAACTGCACGCCCAGGGTGGCAGCAGGCAAGGCAAAGCAATATTTGGATCTAGAGTGGGGCCAAAAACATTGAAAAAACAACAAAAAATCTATATTTTCAGACTCTCGGGAGGGGGTGGGTTCCCAGCCAAGATTTTCTGAATATTCTTTGTGGCAGCAGGCAAGGTAAGGCAATATTTGGATCTAGGGGGTACCAAAAACATTAAGAAAACACAAAAAAAAAGAAACAAAAAAAGAACAACCAAAAAAGTATTTTCAGACTCTCTGGAGGGGGTGGGTTCCCAGCCAAGACTCTCTGAATAGTTTTTTGTTTTTCCGAGACTTTTTGGCTTTTCCTAGGTTGTTATTGGTTTTCTCAAGGTTTTGTTTTTTTTGGTTTTCCTATTGAGGTCAATCTGTGTTCTTACTATTCGTTCAACCTTCAAGTATGTGAGCCTAAGTCTCACCTAAAGGCATATGTTCTTCGCTCTTACAGTGAAAGCGTCTGAGCCCACCACTCCCTTTGTCCTTGTCGAAATCTCCATGTACAAGTCTGCGCATTAACTTCTGATTGGTATCAATGTGGTTGCCAACTGCATGTCCAATCAGCTTGACATGAAACTGTAATGATACCTTCCAGTTTACATGAAACTGTTATGAATCTGTGTAAGCTGTAGTTCTAATTCAATGCTTGTTGCTTTTGCTTCGGCTTTGTAATTTCAATGCCTCCTCGACTTGTGCATCTTGTAGCTCAAGCGTTTTACATCTTATTCTGGCGAACTTCTAATTTTAATTCCAATTCCTTTCTAATTCAACTCTCATCTAATTTTGGATAGATTATAGTTATAGTTCAATACAAGTTTTGTTGAGCTGAGGTTTTAATTCAGTTCTATCTTAGCTCTAACTCAAATCCAATTTAATTCTACCTAATTCTATTCTAGCTATAGTCTATTTAGTTTAAGAAAACACATGCTACAAAACCCCGTGTTTTACAGTATTTTTTGCCCTGGGAGTGCTGGGAACAAGACTACAACTCTTTTTTGAAGTAAATAGTTAGATTTTGTTTATTTACACTAACCACTGGAAAAATTATAGACATATTGAACTTTTTTTTTATGTACAAGCTTCTAATTCAAGAGCTTCCCTCTAGATCTCTGTGGATGATCATTTCTACAATAAAAATACATAAAAGCTTTCATTTCAAAAGCTTTCCTCTGGATCTCTGGAAATGATCATGTCAATTTAAACATGCAATATATCAATAAATATTGTATTTTTTCAAGAGCTTTCATTCCATGAAAACACACATATATGGGATATCTGCTTTCCCAAAGACCCAGAGGAAAACTTTGAAAATGCAAGCCCTTACCCGCAGAAATCTAGAATAAAGTTTTTAACATACAAGGTTTCTATATAGTTGTTTAAATCTAAAAATGATTATCTGCAGAGAGCTATAGAGAATCTTGTGTAACATAAACGCGTCTA